TAACTAACATAAGTTAACCCATAGAGCTTGTTCTATGGTTAAACAGAGATCAATGTGATACGCCCTCTTCTTTATTAACAAAAATGTAACACGTTACGAGGTGGGTGTATGGGTGCGTGTGTGTGTGTGTGATTAATGTATATCAAAATATACAGCCACCAGTTGATGTAATCCTTTGGAAGTCATATTCATAGCACCCTTATTTGTATTTACAGTGTAATTCCCAATATCTTGTTCAGATATGTTAGGAATAGCAAGTGTTGCTTTTCTTTCCTCTTCATCAGAATTGAATTTAGCTTTTGTAGTGTTGAGTTCACTGCCATCAAGGTACCATTTAACAATCGGTTTATTGTCTGGATTGAGTATAGAACAACTGCAGTAAAAGGTAGCGCGGCTGTTCTTTTTAGTATTCCAATGTATTAAAATAATAGGAGGATCCATATCTTTAACATAAAACAATAAAAAATACTCATAAATTTATTGTTTCGTAGATAATCGAAATATGTCTGAAGTAATCATCGTATTGATTTTATCTCGTTTAATTTTGAGAATAAAGTGAAAAGAATTGATTGCTTAAATATGATGATATAACCAATAATCTGCTTACTCACTACATATAACTTAACAAGAAGTTGATACCCAAGATGAGGATATTCTGCTCAACAACCTATTTTATCAGTATACAATAAAGTTAAAGTATGATAATGTTAAATAATCTATTCACAATATACAATTAGTAGAATTAAACATTATTTTTTATCTGGAAGTTAAGAATTTACTCTGTGGTCCCTTTTTTTTTGAATGAACTTTCTTTGGTTAGGCTCTAGTTACCGGTACTAAATAGCAGGAAACAAGAGTATTTTTTGGTGTGGATCACACCCAAGGATAACCCAATAAGTCCGAAAACATATCTCCAGTGAGGTACACCGGAAGACAATTGATACCCAAGATGAGGATATTCTGCTCAACAACCTATTTTAGTATACAATAAAGTTAAAGTATGATAACGTTAAATAATCTATTCACAATATACAATTAATTAAGAATTTGATACCCATGATGTTGTTTCATCTTTATTAACAACCTGGCAAGTGTAATATCCTGCATCTCCTCTGTTTACAGGTTCAATAATCAAATCTCCGTAGGTTTGTTTAGTGACGTCAATGGAAAAGCGACTTTGATTGGGATGTGCCAAGCTAACGATAAAATTGTTAACATGCGTTTCATTAGGCCCGCCATCGAACCAGTTTACACTTTTTACATTATCCGCGACGTCTGAGTGTGCTGGGAGTGCTATTCGATTTCCCTCGGTCACACACAACTTGTTTTCATCTCCTGATGCTAAATGAAGAAGATTACATAATTTGATGATGATATTTAAAATAATGAATGAATAGATGGATGGATATAATGTGTATAATGCAAGATTTCAATAAACTTTATGAATTTTAAATTTAGATATTAGGCCTATTAATGTCACAAATAAAAAATCGAATCCATCAATGTGTATACCGTAAAACCCATAGAGCTATTAAAACAACTTTGGATGGGCTTATTTTCTAGATGGGCTACTTTTCGAGATGTGCTTCTTTTCGAGACTACTTTTGCAAAGCGAAGAGTGGGATTCTTCAAAATGAATGCTGTAAATTTTTTAAATTTGTATAATTAAACAATAAATAAGGTCATTGTAACATCAATCTGTATTGTAGTGTATTTAGCTGGCATTACATCACCTAAACTAATGTATAAACCAAGCTTGTTTTTACTTTATTTTTCCCTGAAATTCATGCACAGTGTATGTACTGTCTCAAAAAGCCTATGCTATTTAAAAAGAAGCCCATGGGCTTCTTTTCGAGTTGGGCTTCTTTTAGAGGCTAATTTTGCAACTAAAGAAGGGGCTTCAATTCAAGATGGACTTCATCTCGGGATTAAGCCCACTGGGCTTCAATTCGAGGTTTTACGGTATCTTGTTTATATCAAGGCCCTCCCTTTTTTGACTCTCACTGGATTTCGTCTAATAATATCAGAAATTCGTTTAAAATGGCTAATGTATTCTATAAAATAATGTAATAAAAAAAAACCAGCTATTATCTTGTAAATTTAAATAAAGTCACTTACCTCTGGACGTGATAGCGGCTAATATTATATAACACACTAATATGTTCATGTCAGTAAGGTGGACAAAGTTTATATAATTTAGAAGATGATTTATAAAGCAAACCTTTATATTAGAAAGTTATGGGCATACACACTGATATGTTATATCACACGCATCAAACTACAGAATTGCAGATATATAATTTTGTTTTCTCTGTGTTCTTATAATCGCTCCAACAACATATTTTATGATTCTTAATTTTGCTTTCATTGTTTAATCTCCAAAAAAAAACAAACCTATAATGAAAATGATATAGAAACACTATCATAGTCTATAATATAATGTTATGTTATTGCTATATTTAAACAAAAATAATAATTTATTACATTACAAAACTCTATATAGATATCGTTTCATTTCATCGTTTCATAACAAGGAGCAAGCTTAGAGGGTAAAAATTCACCATAACGGGAATTCGAACCCGAGATGTTCTGCTGTAATATTAATTACATTAAATTTTAAATGTGATGACGGCTATTATGATAAAATACACCTCGGTGTTTCCATCTCAGTAAACGAAATAACATGGTTTTCAAACATTTACGCAACAAACAAAATAATAATGAATAAACTATAGTTAACTAAACTTCAGAGACACGCTACTAAAAATAAGCCAAACGATTTAGAGATTAAATTTCGAATGTCATTGGAATAATTTAGTTCCCAGTGATTGTATTTATCCTTACGATTTTTGTTGCTCCAATTGGCATTATGGTCTTTTGCAATAACAAATTGCAATTTGTAATTGAGTGACCAGCTAAAAGTTCGGCTACTGGTTGATCAAGCTTAGAGGTTTTGATAGCTGATCGATGTTGTGTCATTCTCATATGAAGAGTGTTTTCTCTGACATATTGTTTACCACAAATACTACGATATTTATGAGATAAACGATATTTTTGGGGAGGCAATTAATTGATTTATATATATGTATATATATAAGATGTGTATAAGAGACAGATATCAAGGCCCTCCCTTTTTTGACTCTCACTGGATTTCGCATATGTGCACCCGTCACATTGATGCCTCATTTAATTATTTATTTATTTATTTAATTTATTAATTGGAGGTAAAATGATAACCCATAACTCGCAGTGTCATTGCGCTGAATTGCGTATGGGAATGGTCCTTGACTACCGGACTAGCGGCCGAAAAGAGGCGCTTATAGTAGCTACATGTTCACATTATGCACATCAATGAACCATCGCATAGGGGTAACCTCTACTCTTCCGAGAAACGCAATGGGTTCTTTAAAGTGCACACGAGCCAGATGTCTTCACTGGACCTCCATTTTAATTCCTTATCCGAGAAGACTTGGTTCTACCAACCGAACCCTGATCGAGGAGCAGCTGGTACCAGCGCCGATGTTAAGGCTGTAGTTAACGGCGCTCCTGCCTTACCACTCGACTTATTATTAGTACGGGTAAGTCCAAAATTAATGTTCTCTATTTTTTTTTCTTTGAAATCATGTTTCTATGAGATATTATTAATAAACACTTTTATTGGTAGTATATTTCAATTGTTATTGTCAAATTTATTAGAGGCTCTTGCGTAGAAAAAAGTCAATGGTATAGTATGATGAAGACAAACTGATAATGTTCACGTTATTGTGATGAGTAATATATATTGTACTACTGTCAGTAATTTTATTTTATTATACACAAGGTCAAAGATTGCTGTTATTCTGTATGATTTCACACAAATGGCAGGGGCGGATACAGGATTTAGCAAAAGGTGGGGGGCCGCCAAAGTAAAGATGGACGACCAGCCGAGGTACGAAGCACCGAGGGCAGGGGCCTCACCAAGTGGATTTATGAATAGCACTCTGCTAGGGTGTTTTTGGTAGGAAAAGAAGACTTAAACACTGTGTGTGTAATTTTTTCTTTTCCTTCTCTTTTCTTTTTTTTTTTTTGCAAAAAAATAGGGGGGGGGGGGGACCCCCCTAATGCGTGCCCCCCCCACCCCCAAATCC